TCCAAGTCTTTCATTAAACACGACATCTCTACTCAACACTTTCTTCTTGTTTTTCAAATCCCACAACTTGTAGCCTTTCACTCCCTTCTCAAAACCGAGAAAATGCACTCGAGTGACTTTGGCTTCAGCTTGTTTCGTTCATCACTCGGAATATAAACATACGCCTTGCATGAAGTCAATTTCTTTGTCCGACCATACTTCTTCGGCACATTTGAAGTTCAGCAGCTTAGATGGTGACGATTAACCAAGTAGGCAGTATGGTTAACAGATTCAGCCCAAAAAGACTCGGGTAATCCTGCATGAAGTCTCATGCATCTTTCTTTCTCCATGAGAGTTCGGTTCATCCTTTCCGCTACGCCATTTTGTTGTGGAGTTTTCTTCACGGTAAAGTATCGTGTAATGCCTTCTTGCTTGCAAAATGCTAGGAATCGTCCATCATGATATTCACCTCCATTGTCACTTTGTAAATACTTGATCTTTCGTCCAGTTTGGTTCTCTACTTCCGCCTTTCATTCTTTGAACTTCTCAGAGACCTCAGATTTCTCCCGTATGAAGTAGACCCAAATTTTTTCGTGAATAGTCATCCATGAAGGTGACAAAATAGCGAGCATCACCATGAGATTTTGTAGGTGCCGGCCCCCATACATCGGAGTGAATATAGTCGAGAATCCCTTTTGCACGATTCTCCTTATTTGTCGGCTTAAAATGAGACTGTGCATTGCTTTCCAAGTACGCAATACTTGCAGAAATCCAACTTACAAGTCTCCATGTTCTTCAACAGCTTCCTCTTGTGCAGTTCCTCTATAGCCCGCTCACTCATATGGTCAAGACGAAGATGTCATAGATGAGCCGAGTCTTTCTCAGAGTCAATCTTGGAGTCCTCTTTAGAAGTTGTGGATACATCAACTTCACCTAAGACAGTATCTCCTAGAAGCTTGTACAAGTTGTTAGGAAGCGTCTCTCCTCGCATGATCTACAAATCTTGATCTTGCCTCCGTCTGAGGAGTAGGTGAGGCCGCTTACGTCTAGAGTGCCCAAATAAATCAGGTTCTTCTTGAGTGCAGGAACATGTCGCACGTTGCCGAAAGTGCGAATGATGCCATCATACATCTTCACCTTCACCGTGCCAATGCCGATGACCTTGCACGCAACATTATTCCCCATAAGGACTTCATCTCTATCCTTCTTTTCATATGTATCGAACCAAAACCTGTTTGCACACATATGGAAAGAGCAACCTGAATCAAGAATCCATGAATTAGAAATGGTTTCACCTGACGTAACCGAAAGAAGCTCGAAGCTCAGCACTGTTCTCTGTGGCAACTCCAGCCAAGGAGGTGGTTTCAGATTTCTTCCCTTCTTTCTGATCTGCCTTGAATTTTCTGTAGTTCTTCTTGAAGCGGTCTTTCTTATGGCAGTAGTAGCACTCATTATCCTTATGGCTCTTGGATTTAGATCTTCCACGGTTGTCCAACTTGACACCTTTCTTCTTGGATCGACCCTGATCGTTCAACTCCTTGACGAGTAGGCCTTTATTTTTCAAGTCAGCTCTCGTGCTCTTGTTCATTTTGACATGAGAGATGATGTCTTGAACAACATCTTCAAATCGAAGAGTCTCCTTGCCAAACATGAGTGTGGTTCGAAAATGTTTGAATGACGACGGCAAGGATCGTACCAATAGCAAAGCTTTATCCTCTTCTTCAAACTTGACCTCCACTCGTAACAAATCCGTTATACAACGGTTAAACACATTAAGATGCTCCATAATATCATCTTCATCTTCCATACGGAGATTAAACAATTCATCTTTTAAGAAAAGTTTGTTAGAGAGAGTTTTACCCATGTAGAGATTCTCTAACTTCTCCTATGTGCCCCTTGCGGTAGTCTCCTCCATCACATTATCGGTGACTTCGTCGGATAAGTGCAGCTCAATCGAGCTCATCGCCTTGAGGTCTGCCTTGTTCCAAGCCTCCATAGACATCGTCTCTGGCTTGTGCTCAACCCTCATAGTGCACATGTGTAGATCTTGCTGAATCAATATATTCTTCATCTTGCGCTGCCACAGTGTGAAATTGCTTCGCCCATCAAATGGCTTCAGCCCAACCTTCACACCGCCAATTATCGACTTGTCTTCAGCCATTAAGAACATCATAATCACGTTCTAATACCACTTGTTGGTGTTGACGAATCGCGGAACTTCTCAACACCACTTCAGGGTCTTGTTCTTAATGACAAAAAGAATAAAAATAATCACACAAGGATTTACGTGGGAAACCTAAACAGGAAAAACCACGGGTTGAGCTTGGAACTCGGAGGATACTTCGCTATATGGAATCAACAAATTGGTATAAGGCACACTCGGCACACCCGACAACGCCGAATTTCACACAACCCTCACTCACGCTCCTCTTTATTAACTCAACACTCGAGATCTCTACAACACGAGAGACTTTCCTTCACTCTAACTCTCTATACTTTCAAGAGAACAAGTAAAAAACTTGGGTGATTTTTTTGATCTCTTCACAATGAGAGGATGCCTATTTATAGGTCTTGATGAACCTTTTCATCTTCCAAAATGCTTGGGAATACACAAATCTGTCCAGATTCGAGTATGGTACTTTGACTGACCATAACTCCCTTAATACTGCTTCGTTTCCTGTGATTCAAAGTTTGGAGTAAACTATACATGCACCTCTATAACTTTCATGTAGATTTTCGAGCCAAATAATGACTGCATCATGCCCGAAAAGACCATGTAAAATTGTATCTACATGCAGAAAAACTACAACAATAAATGAGTTGGAAATTGAGTCAACTCCAACAATCTCCACCTTGGTGAGATATCCAACGCCACTCGAAATTATCAGTTGCATCTTCGGAGCATTAGTCTTCTGAATCACGAACACTTGTCACCGGAACATGGATCTTCGGAATCTAAGAAGTTAGACTCCGGAACTTCAGAACAAGTCCTGCTCTGGCTTCAACTGCTTCACCCGATGAACCAAAGGTAGATATAACTGTCTTCTCCTTTCTTGTTAACTTTTGTTCTAAACGCCAGTTTTTCAATGTGAATCTTTTGCTCTTTCAGGAATATATCCATAGAGTAGGTAGAACTGCTCGTGGAGAAGGTGGCAAAAGAAATGCTTTATTGTTTCTGTTGCCTGAAGAGTTGCAGTTTCTAGCCTACCTCAAGGTAGATTACTCTCCGATAAATGATTTCTTAACATCTAGTATGTGTCCGTACAGATTTAATTTTGTTTGCAACTATTAGGCTGCCAAGGTGCCTGTGAAAGAATATTGAAAGAACGTGAGTTTGATGAAAAGAAGGTGCCAAATTTGCACTCATCTCTGGTAATCTTTCATGACAATCCTAAAATTTTATGTTGCTTGGTGCTGATTTCTCAGGGGTTAATAATTTAGTGTATTAATCTTGCAGGAGCAACTTGAGGGACAGAACTACTATCTTAACAAGTCAGCTAAGGAGGCATATCAGTCGTATATATTGGCGTATGATTCACATTCAATGAAGGACATCTTCAATGTCCATCGCCTCAATATGAAGGTAATGTTCACTTATAACTTTGGTAATTTAATGTGATACTCTGCCGGTTGCTGCATCTTGAGATTTTCCTTTTATGAAATTTAAAGGTTGAAGCCTTCGATTTAGAGAAATGTGGGTTATGTTGCAGGATGTAGCAGCATCCTTCTGCTTCACCTCACCTCCAAAAATAAACCTTGGAATCGAAAGTCGTGCATCAAAGTCGAGGAAGAATTCGCGCAATAGCTCCAGAGGAAACCATCATGGAATTAGCGCAAGCAATCCTTACGGGAGACAACAAAGGTGATGATAAAAGGCAATTTACAAGGACTTAGCTAGATGGTTGCGCATTTAGCAAGTAAGCTTGATAAAGCAAGAGAAATATCTATACGAAAATTTCTGTTCCACATGAGGTTCTGGAGAGACATATTTCAGGATTACTAATCTTCTGTAGAGCACTAAAGCATTCACTGTTTGAAATGATTATTCTATTTATATTTTGACCTTAATTTGTCTTAAATTAGACTTTTGGAGTATGCATGAGAAGTATGGAAGAGAGACATTTATGAACTCACTATCTGGCGTAAGACTGAGAATATTTGGGAAGAAAGTGTTTTTTGATTGTGGAAATAATGTTCATGAAAAATTTTAACTTTTTGCTCCATCATGTTGTGCATCTGGACTGCATCTTACAAGTAATGTTGGGCCATATGGACTCTTTATAACAAGCTCAAAATTTTGCTCCTAACTTGGTACTCTTCTGTTGTGAGGCTTTGGTCTTTGTTACGGATTTAAGACTTTGTGACCAAAAAGTTAGTGAAAGTTTTAAAAAGAATATGTAAAGTTATCTTGATTAAGTGAAGAAGTTCATGATTTTTAAAGTTAGTCTAAAGTTCATATTTAGTTTTTTAGTCTTTCTTAAATCTTGATAAAGCCAAATTAGGTAGCATGTTCTAGACTAGCATTGTTATGTCATGACAACATATATGATTAGTCGTCTCATTTATTTGGCACCAGCATCTTAAGATTCTTCAATGATACGGGACAAGTTTCTATTGGGCAAACGAGTGTCATGTAGTCGGACATTTAAAAATCTGAATCCGCCTTGTGAAGAAGACTCCTCACCAAATGCTAATATATGCATTTAACAAATAACAATAGTTCCTTGATATCAATATTTTGAAATCTTTCATTATTCATATCTGCCTCGTTCATTATAAGACTCTCCCAGATTCTTGAGGTTTACTTCTCTAGGGATGAAGTTCAAATTCAAATTTGAAGTAGTGTATATTTACTGTTGGCTTTGTTTTGAATGTCTTTTGCTCATCTAATGAGAATAATTTTTTGTTATATGTTTATAATTGTCTCATGTTATGAAAAAATTGCGCTTCTTATACCCATTTTCTGTTTTGTGGTTTTATTAACTACATCATTAGAAAGACAAGAAGCATCCGAATGAAATTTGAAAATCCTTCAACATAAAATCTCACTTTCTCATCGAAAATTGGCAGAATGCCTTCACTATCCATCTGCATACAGAAAGAATAACATTTAAAAACTCTCTCTCTAACGTACAGATAGATAACTCCTTTCACCAACGATTGCAGTTCCTCTTCAAGAATCAAGAGCTTTCATCTTCCCAAAATCTCCGTAATTGTCACATCGTTTACAGAATAGGACTCATTTCTATTAGCCATTGCGAGCGTCTCATTAGGGCTTTCCTCCATGGTAAACAATGGTGGTTTTGGCATTGGAAGCACAGGGTTTTCGCTTCCAAGCGCAAGAACAACTGATGGCATATCAGGCCTGTCATTAGCTCGATCTTGAATGCACAACAGTGCAATTTGTATGCATCTCAACACTTGAGGAACAGAATGTGAATCTATAATTATCGGATCTATCATCTCGGTTGCTCTATCTTTTTCCCACAATTTCCATGCCTGAAATAAATGAATTCAATATGCGACATTGTTAAAAACATTCATTATCTTAGAGAAGATGTTGAAAGTAATGGGGTTGGTGTGCTTACGAATCCTACAATGTTGACAATGTTGGGTATTTTGTGAAAGCTGTTGTTTCTTCTGCCTGAAACTATTTCTAGTACTAGAATTCCGAAACTGTAGACATCAGACTTTACTGAGAAAAGACCCTCCATCGCGTACTCAGGAGACATATAGCCACTACATTAATTCACTTATTTAGGCCATCAAACATAAGAAATTAGCATTCAATAATATATGTATAATACTTACAGTGTACCGACCACTCTGTTTGTATTTAACTGATTTTGATCACTACCAAATATCCTCGCCATCCCAAAATCAGATATCTTAGGGTTCATGTCTTCGTCTAAAAGAATGTTGCTTGCTTTGAGATCACGATGAACAATCCTCAACCTCGAATCACGATGAAGATAAACAAGCCCTCGTGCAATGCCTTCTATGATGTTGAATCTCTTGCTCCAATCCAATGATGGTTGTCTTGTTGGATCTGTTCACAATTACTCTCATTAGAACAAAAAAAGGCACTTATTTCAGCAAAATTTTGTAGTACATACCAAAGAGGAACGCATCTAAGCTTTTGTTAGGCATGTACTCATAAATCAACATCTTCTCCTCTTCTTGAATGCAGCAGCCTAACAACCTGACTAAGTTTCGATGCTGCAATTTGGCAATAAGTATCATCTCATTCTTGAACTCTTCTTGCCCTTGTCCAGAACTCCTCGAGAGCCTCTTCACTGCAACTTCTCTTCCCCCTGGTAATTTTCCCTTGAAAAGCAAAACCATTTGAAATTTAGTTCAAGCACGTGCATGTTTTTGTCTGTGTTTGTGCATGTTTGAATCACTGAAATACCTTGTAAACATCTCCAAAGCCTCCTTCTCCTAGCTTATTAACACTGTCGAAATTGCTTGTAGCGATAGCAATTGTGTCAAAACTAAACAACGGGAGCTCGGTGTCTTTTCCTTCACGTCCTTCTTCAAGCTCTGCTTGCCCTGAGAAGCCCAGCCTTACTTCCCTCATTGAACGCAAGCTGCCCGCTTGGCTGCTTTGCTTGTCACCCTTTTTCAACCATCCTTAACAAATGAAAGCAAACAAGAGTCAAATCTTAGGCGAAAAAGCATCATTTGACATAATTTGAGCAATGTGCAATATAAGAATTATTACCTTTTATCTGTGCATTGAACTTCCAACATAAGAGAATGCAACATATGATCAACAGAGAAATTCCTGAGGCGCATATTATTACAATGGTTCTCCATATCTTGCTCTTGTGACCTGAAAGTGAAGTGCAGTATAATTCACCAGCACTACTAAAAATCTAATTGAGTTTCTGCAACTTGATTTGTTCAACGCTTGGTAACTAAAAAAGTAGGATTAAACAAACTAACCATGGATGTTACGTTTAAACTATGCTTGATCCAGAATTCAGTTCAATGAATGTTTTATGTGTGACATTTATCCTTATCCAAATTGGTGCTCTTTAGTGCTTTACAGTGTGCATACCATTATTGCTACAATTGCTTCATGAGCTGGTTGTAGGCATAAGCAAAAATGTTCTCAATTTTTAATCTGAAGTTCACATCAAAGTCTTAATCTATGCAACTCATAACTAATTTTAAATCTGGTAGGTCCGGAGAAAAATAAATTATTACTCGGAACACAACTAATAAACTCTTGACTAGTCTTATTCTAATAAAATATCAGCATCTCTTACCTAATTCTGAACCTGCAACCTTGATGTAGAGATCACTGCCAGATCCTTGAGGAAACTGATAGATATCAATAAGATTCGGTCCCCAAAACAAACACCCAATTCCTGAAACATAAGAATAAGCCTTACAAGAACAATTCTTCAAGCAAGAACTCCTGCAGTCTTCTCCATTCACAACTGTTGATTGCCAATCAGCCAAATCCGGCACTTTCACTGCTTGCAATTTATAAAACCCATCGCCTTGGCCATTTCCTCCAGTAATATTTTTATTACTTCTGTTTGTACTATTAACTAACTCGCACTGTAACGGGTTTTTTCTAACACAACCCCCTGACCAATTTCCACTGTTATACTCTTCACTGAATCTTGGCTCGAATCCTCTCAGACAACTACATATCGGTACACGGTCACTGCTACAAATCCCATAATCGCGACATTTTCCATAAGTTTCACATTCATTTACAGGTTGCACCCAAACTGATCTCCAATCCTTAGTCTGCTCAACCAAAATACTTGTATTCTCAACTCCATCCCATTGCAACACAAACCTCAAGGGAGTACTGTTGAACTGTGTAAACGTGAAGTACATAGAGTTTTGGCTATTATCGACTATAGGCTTGAATCCGTAGAGATACAACGGCCTCATTGTTGAACCGATGAACCTAGTTCCATCCCATTGACCCGACCTCCATCTCGGCCTTCTCCCTTTCCAAATAAAAATCTGGCCTGAGCCTGATAGATCTAGCCCAAGTGAGTATTTTCCTTTTGAAGGATCATTTGGGCTCTTCCAAGCTCTGAAAACTGTTCTTGTCCCAGTTTTTCGATCTAAACTCACTTTCATTCCAGGCAAAAATGTATCAGTCGGATGATCAAAGCTACTCCAGATCACTGTTCCATCGCCCGACCCAATAACAAGCTCGCCTGAATCCAATATTCGAGCTGTGACCGAAGTGTTTGATACAATTGGATTGGATTTTGTTGACCATAACAAGTTACCTTGATCGTTCAATAGTAGCAAGTTTCCGCTACTAGTTAAGGTGAGAATTCCGCCGGAGTTTGTAATTGGAGTTCCACGGTTCGCAACCCAAACAACGGATTGTGTTGAGATGTTGTGGTAGTAAACTCCGAGGTAACGGGAAGTGGAGTTCCCAGGACTGAAGAATCCGAGGTCAAAGATTTTAGATGAAGAGAGAAGAGTTTGGCCATCTTTAATGGATTGGCCTTGTGTTAGTGTATCATTTGCAAGTGAGAATCGAGAGAGAACTGTTGTGTTGATGAAGATGAGGAGAGAAGAGAGTAGGTGAGTTCTTTTGGTTGAATTCATGTTTGATCTTCAGTTTGAGGATAAATTTTGGTGCTTATAATTTGTATGAAATTATTTATTTAGTGCAGAAAAAGGCAACAACTGGCTGCCGCCTTTTGTTCCGTGAGTTGGTGCTTCTTTGAGTCAGCTAAGTTTGGACGTTTAAGTTAAGGATTAAACTTTAAAATCTTGTTGTTTTATAAGTGGCATGTGGGTTTGACCGTAAATATAATGTTGTTAATTTATGAATTGTTGAGTTTGACCAAGGCACTTTGTGTGGCGTCCTCGTGTCTTTTACCTAGTCTAATAAGTCAATATTGGATTGTACAATTTTTATTATTCTTTTAAAAGTTGTTTTCAATACTTTACAGTGGAAACGTAAAGGTTTTTTGTTGAGAAAAAAGACCAGACACGCTTAGCGGAATGATAACAATCTCTTCTTTCCAGTTACACAGCGTGAGAATAAATGAATTAAAAAGTTCTAGCTTCGAAATTAAGAAGAAAAATCACAATCATAAGGACAAGCAATTTAAACGAGGAAAATTTTTGTGGGAAAAAACATCGTGCTGTACACGGGCTACCTATTTCTTCTTCTCTCTTCCGTGTGCGCTTCAAACATGACTGTATTAGGCTTATTAAAACTCAAGAGTCAGCCATGTCGGATTCTTACATTTGCATGATGTCGCAAATTCCATCATGATGTTTAATATCGACCGTATCATCCTTTTGAATAATTCTTCTTCCACAGGATCACATCTATGTATTGGATATACGTATTCAGTTCTATGAGAATATTTGTAGGGTTCTTATTAAATACGTTTGTTGGGATTCAACTCATGTTTCCAAATAATGTACATAAATACAAATCGGATTCTTTAGTGTTTTGAGTATGACTGGTTACGATTTGAGTTTATAAATTTGTTATGTAGTATAATATGCATTTATTTGTAAATGTACTATACATAATAGATCAGTAGATGCTTTATAATCAACTATTTCACAATTTGTAAAATAGTATTGCTATTTTTGCTGATGCAATATAAGGGATTTATATAGAATGATGCTAGTAGCTAGCTAGATCACCCTCCTTTCCAAACTGCTAGGAAGAAAAGTACAATTAATGTCTTTGGTGAGTAAGATTTAAAGCGGAACGATCCAACACTTCTCTCTCTAATAATTTGCAAGGAATAATCTAGTCGATACTGCTCATTTATGTGTTCATCGTTTGAAATTTTTTATGCCCGCAATATCATATTATATCCGATATTTATACATATAAATGAGTTTGGCATAGGTAGCGCCTTCAGCAGCCCAATAATTTGTAGACCGTAGAATTGTGCTTAAAGCGGGACGGGGCTGCAACGAGCCCAACAACAAAATGGCCGGCCCAAAATCTACACCCAAATTGCATTTTTTAAATTATATATCATGTCGCTTTTTAATTCTACCAACTAGGAAGAGGAGCTTTCCATATAAATGGTTATTTAGTAAATTTTTTGTTTCACCAAAAAAAGGGGGAAATGTGTCAATGCCCTAAAAAAAGAAAGCTCTTGTGACCCAGCCCCTTGAAAATTTTCTCATGTGTTTTAACCCTAAAAGACCCAAGAATTTCATCTTCCCCTTTTCTTCTTTTTCTTCTTCTTCTCTGTGTCTTTCTCCTCCTCCTGTCCTCTAACTGCTCCTTTCTTCTCTTCTTCTCTCCTCCTCCTCTCCCCTAACCATATCTTCCCCAAAAAAATATACCCCTTAACCCTTCCCCCAAAAACTGACGTGCACTCCCCCCCTCCTCTCTCTACTCTCTCTCTTCTCTCGCTCAGACTCCTGTAAGCTCAAGAGAACCCAAAAAACCATAGATTTGAACTCAACCCTTCGCAAGACCCCTCAAAAGTTTGTCTAAAAAAGTGGAAAATTGCCGAAAACCAATTTAGAGAAGAGTGAAGGAGACGATACCCACTTCAAAGTTGTTCATCGTCGGCGTCCCTCGAATCCGGCAACAAAGGAGGCTCTTTTAGAATCATCCACCTTCTCCTCTGCATCATTATCCCCCACCGTTGGTTCTTCTTCTCTGACGTCCACCTTATCTGAGGATGAGGACAGTAACGAGGCAACAGTGGCCCTGTTGTGCATGAAAATCGGTCCAGATTTTATCCACCAAGACTCTTACGTTTGTGATTTGACTTGCATGGTGTCGTTAGGCGAGAAGGCTATGTTCTTAATGCTAAGCCCTATAACAAGATTTTTTGGACTAAAATTCAATGTGTTCGAAAGACTAAAAGTACCTCAAGATGATTTATCATTGATATATAAATCTGAGAAACACACGAATCTAAATTTTTTAGTTGATAATGAAGACGATTTGAAGTGCACGGTGGAGCATAATCGAAATAGTAGTTGTATAGAGATTCATATGCAAGTTGTTGTTAATATAGAGGGTTCTATTTTTGGAAAAAATTAGAGAGTTCTAACTGAAACGTAAATAATCAATAAAGTCTTTTTTAAAATTGATCTTTGTGTGATATAAGTTTTGTGATTTTAGGTTTCATAGCACAGATGAATCGTAAATATTAACTTTAATGGTTATATGTTAACTCCTCCTGTCGTGTGTTAAGTATCATAACTATATGTTAACTTTCACCAGAACAAGTTAACTTTTAGGGTTGACTATCACATTTATAAGTTAACTTTTAACTGAACATGTTAGCTTTCCTCTTAGTCTGTTAACTTTTTCTACTGAATGCTAGCTATTATGGAACATATTTGTTCCACGAATATATGATATGATGAGTCAGCATCTTGACCAGCCTAACAAGCCGACACCCTAGTGTCGACCGCTCCTACAGTTGACATAAGAGATCCTAACTTCCCAGACGAGTCGACATCTTCATATCGACTCGAGAGTTGGTTATTAGCTGAGATAAGATGACATTCCAACTAGCCGGACAGGCCGACATTCCTGAGTCAACGCGAAAGAATGTGTCGGTCGACACGAGATTTAGCAACTCAAAAATATGACCCTATGGGCTTTGCTTCTTGACGAAGCTAAATGATTGCCCTTATCTCAAACCTGTCAGCATAGGCGTCACTTCTCAACATTGTTTAATTATTGATGATCATCATTATGTCTTCGTTCTTAACAGTCTTGAAGACTTGTCGGCTGCTGGCTCCGAATGCTGCCGAAGTAACCTCCCGCCACTCACAAACCAATACATGTGGAGCAAATGATAACTTATTTTCCAACTCACTCCTCATCACCGCCTCACTACCGCCTTGCTACACACTCCTGAAGTGTCCAATCTGCCCTCGGCATCCTTTATAAATGCAGATGCTATTCGCTATAGCCAGGGGTTCGCAATCTAAAACCCCCAAGAGCACACACTACACAAAAACAAGATCATATAGTTCTATTACTCCACTCAAGCTCAAGTTCATCAACTGACTTGATCGTCGGAGGTACAACGAGGGAACTTCACTGTCCTCTTACGACTCTTTGCGTACAGATTGCTCAATCATCATAAATTCGAAATCAGGCATAAAGTCAAAGAAGAAAGCGGCCTCTTGCAAACAACGCGACTTTATTTGGTTGTGTGATATTTAACATCAACATTAGATTTCACTGCTTTATGCTAACTTTCACCAAAACATGTTAACTTTCCTCTTAGTTTATTGACGCTCACACTGTTAGCTTACACAACAAGCTATTAATAAAATATCAGAAGATGATATTATAGTTGACTTTAAAATCTGACTGGTTTATTAATTTGTGCAGCAATGATACCTCTTTGAATGAAGAATATAGTCATACTTCTCTAGGAAATACTTCTAATTCGAAGAGGATCCCAAATAATTGCCCGTCTAGTGAGAATGTAATGAAATGAGATGATGTTCTCAATAACACGTCCATCATTCCTCAATGGTGGCACATAACATTAACTGAAAGGGGTCAACCATTTCAAAATATAAATGAATCGAGACTAGCTTTGTAATACTAGTCTATGGCGAAAAAGTTTGATTATAAATTTGCAAAGAATGGACCCCAAAGGTATTCGAGTTTAATGTCGACATAAGAAAATATATGAACGCCTTTGGATGCTATTTGTCTCTCCTATTAAAAATAAAAAAGAATTGGAATTAAGAAGTTTATGAACGAACACAGTTTTGGACAACATAGTAACTTGTCAGGACAATCACGGACATCTCAGAAATTCATAGCAGCCCAAATGCATCCTCCGTTGAAGATTTTTCTCACCACCAGACTCTTATGTTTGCTGTTAATATCATATATAATTAATAGGTAACGCTCAAAGTTAACAGTTTCTGTGAAAGTTAAAGTTAACATGATACTGAGATAGTTAACAGACAACACAAATAGACAACTTTAGTTAAATAAATACATTATATTAAAATTCTTACATTCTTACTGCTGATATTGCTTGAGTACACGATATGATTAGACTTACAATCTTAGATATTACAAAAATCTTCTACAATGTGCTACAAAAGTCTTGACAACCTACATTGCTCTACCAAAAGTATTGTACTAATAAGCAATCCACACCAATCACCAATTGCTTCATTACAAATAGCTTGATTGTGACCTTCAGCTTTGCATCGAGGCTCGTCTCATCTCATCAGATGAACCTCGCCACGCAGCGAGGCTCGTCCCACTAAATAAAGTTTGACTGTAATGATTTTGAAGACCCAGTCAGCCCACTTGTGCTAAATTCAAGGAGTTAATTACGCTCTTCAACCCCACGATCAGGGCGTCAGTTACGGGCTAGAGGCTTATAAATAGCCGTAAGCAGTTATGAAGAGGGAAGAGACACGTACACAGATAAGATAGAATTCAGAAGCCAATTGGAGAGGCGCTCCTTTGAGATCCAAACCTCGGTTCTTGTGATCTAAGCAACCAATAGAGGCTAATCCTCCCCTTGAATTGAAGCAGTCTTATTCTGATCATCAACGGGAAGCAAGATCGACTCAAGCATCGAGTGAGGTATCCTTTCACCACACATAACCCACAT